TAAGAAGTATGTGAAAGTGGAGGTGTTATCAGAGCTCTTCCAAAAGGTGGATATAGGGCAGGTCAGAATGATAAAATCGGAGCAAGATAAGCACTTGAAGGCACAGTATTCTTCTGAGTTTGACGATGGTTCTAAGAAAGAGACTCCATGACTTGGGAAGGAGAGGGGGAGGAAAAGAAGCTGAAGATGAGATCTTGGAATTTGACTGGAACTGTGTTTCCAAGGAATTTCCAATTCAAAGATGAGAGGAAAGAAAGAAAGGAGTTTTGTACCCCTAAAGTTAAGAGTGTTTCCCAATTAATGGATTGGACTTTTATAAGGCAGCTAAATGATGAGAGAGAAAAGCAAAGAGTTTTATCTATGGACATATAGGAGACTTCTGAAATCAGCTTCTAAAATGAGGCAGATTAACAAAAAAGTTAGAAAATGTTTGCCCGAGGTTATAAATATTTGTTCTAATACCTGCTGTTTACTTCAAATATTACATGTTCCTGAAGACACAGACTATGAACCTGAACATAAGATGTTAGAGCCTTCAAGAAAGGTTTGCTTTTGGCAGCTGATTTAAGACATGTTTATCTGAAGCACTATAAGAAGTTACTACTTCTCCATCAGAGATAACCACCACCTTGAAGTTGGTGTCCAACCTGACTAAACTGCTGGATGGAGTTGGTCTGTAGTAGGTCAGACCTGAGATTAATCTATCCAGTATCCCATCTGCAACAGCTGTTGGAGGGGTGTGCTGGAAGGAACACGGTATCGGAGCAGACACTGTAAAGTTCCCTTAGAGCTGAACAAACTGCAAATGTTTTCCAACTGGAATGCAAATACCCAAGAGTGGGTGTCCAGGCTACAACAAAGCAAATCACGTGTTTACAAATCAGAACAAAAATGGTAACTTTCTCCTAAGGTTTATCACTCCTGGGTGTCACCCTAGCCTGCTGCATGGGCCCAAAGATTGTAGGGAATTCCAGAATAAGTCATGGGTTTATGTGCAGCCAGCATTCCTGTAGGTTGTGGGTTTCTTTGTTTCTTTTTCCATGGATATACAATATTATTCGTGTTTCAATAGAGGAATTCACTCAAACTGCCAGCCCCATGACCTAGCAATAAGATACTATTACTGGTTCTGAAACCTATGCTTTCAGGCTGCTAATAACTGGGATATTGCAGAAAATCATGAGAGATGCTGTATATCCGCACAACGGTCCTGATCAATTTAGAACCAACACAAACTGCTTTCTCAATCCCTTATTCTACCACTTTTAAAGCAAGACTAAGTAGCACAACACAAATGCAAAAAAAAAAAAAAGTATAAAATTCAAAAAATTGTATACAGTTAGATCCTCTCTGGAACTGGATGAGACAATAGTTTAAAAAAAAAACGCAAAACTGTTAAACCCTATCAAACATAATGCTTAAAAGCACTATATTAAAGCAGAGTGCCGCTGTGTGACATGTTCCCCTAAATTCCCCCAAATTCAGTGAACGCCCTTTAGTTTAGGCTATGCCCTTGAGCAGAATTTCTTTTTAACGTCAAGCGTATTTATTCCAGAGCCATCGGTTCCCTCCAAGTGGAAAGGACCCAGGACCGGCAATGTGCGAAAGTAGCTTTGTTCTTCTCACCCCCTGGGTTGCACCGAACCTCGCCTGGTCACAGCAAGGACTGGGGGCTCTGTGTTTATTCTTTTAGTTCTGCAGAACCACTTATTTTTGCAGTTAACGGTGACTTTGCGGTAAGTATATGTTCTGGGAAGCAAAAAGCAAAGAGTATGTTGGTGGCAGAAACCACAAGGTGCTTGCTGTATTACTCTGCCTTAAACATTGTTTTTAATCAAGTGGAGTTGCTGTAGGACTGTTTGACTTCTGCACGTGTTCTAGCTGTACAATAAGCTCTGTTGGCGCAGTACTGATATGTCGGAGAGTTAAGTTGACATTGAGGTGACTGCTTCTAGATAGAGTCTTTTTCATTCAACTTAAAACACCTTGTCTAAAATCTAATATAGATTGTTAACATTTAAATTATGTGTGTCACTTTAAAATCAGATTTTCACTATTATGAAAGATCTGGATATAATCATTCAACCGAGGAAGATGAACCATAGCTCTAAATGCAACTTGAAAACATACGCATGTAAGATGAAATGTGATATTGCTGAAAGAGGACTTCTAGCTGATGGAATGAAGTGGTTTTCAGGTCCTGAACCAGTTTTTAATGAAGTGGTCATCTGCCATGCACTTATGAACTGGTGAGAAAAACAAACGAAAGTTAAACTTAACTAGCTGCTAACTAAATATCCACTTTCTGGTCATAAACAAGTATCATACAAAGTTAGAGATTTTTATTTTAGGAAAGGAAGTAAAATAATCTCCCGAGAGACTGAGAGATAATGATGCCTATACTTTTTAAAAAAGCAAAACTGTTGCCAAAACATTATTAGGATGGTGAGAAAATTCAATAAAATAACATATTCTTCCCCTCAAGTAGCCCTTCAGAAATTTATTGTGTTGCTAAAAGAGATAGGCAAATCAATCCACCCCTTATTGCTGAAGTGATACGGTCTTGACAAATACTGCTTTCAGAGCCTGAAGAGTGGGATGTCTTGAGTTTTAGAAGGGTGGGGGATGTGTTTTTTCCAGTCCTAAAAAAGATACAAATATTGAAGTTTGATATTTAGTAATGCAAAGGATGCAAAACTTGCTTTGCAGTTATTTGTAAGTAATATATTTAAAAAATGTTGGCTAACTTCAAAATTTATTAATGTATGTTGTAGTAATACAACTGCTTCATTCAACAGAGAATTACCTGTAATTTTTAACATGAATTAGTTGGCTTTTTTTTCTGTTTTTTTTTTTCCTCTTGATGGTATATTGTTAGATCTTAAGATAGTAGAAATATTTATATAAGCATGTGACAAATGTTCATAATTATTGTTATACCAGTTGTAAAACTACAAATTAGTATGGTAGTCTTTTCCTCAGCAAGCACCTTGGTGCAAAAATTCCTGTCACTGAGAAAGAAATTAAATTTTAGCTATGATTTTGATGTGTTTCTGTATTAGCCTTAGTAAAAGTATCTGGTTTTGTCCTCCAAAGGAATTTTCTTAATATTCAAGATTAGATTCCTTTTATTGTGCCAGAGATCAAATGTGATCTGATCCTATTCTCACCTTGACTCCACCACTCTGGTGATTTTCAAATTCTGAGAATTTTATCTTATGATATTAAGACATGCCTCAAAAGCAGTTTTTACTGCCTTCTCTCCTTCAATTTTCTTAGCAGGCAAACACTTCCTGGTATCTGTCTTTACTGGTTCAAAGGAATTGAGAGCTTGAGTTAAAGAAAATTTCTTTAATTTTTAAGTCTCTTGGACTGACCTCTATAGCAAGTAATTTTTCATAATTCCAAATGATTCATCCTTCCTTCTTGAAGTCTGTATTGCTGGAGATATCCTTTCAAGAGGATCATGATTATTTATTAAATTGCCCTTGTGAATTGTAATAAATAAATCCCTGCGCAATTGCAATGAGTTCCTCTTGAGCATGTGCCACCCACATAAATCTAAATAAGCAAGAACAGCCTGGGTAGGGTGCCCAGCTCCCCGTGCTCCTTGGATCCCAAAGGAATGCTGGTGCTTGGTGCATTTTGCTGGGTGCTGGGAAGCCTGCCTGCCTCGTGCTCCTTGCTCCGGTTTGGGTCAGGAAACAGAGGGCTAAGAAATGTGAACCCATATCCCTACTTGAAGTGAACAGTATTACTCTTTGTGCCTTTATGTTTCTCTTTCACTTATGTTATTATTTCCAGAAGGGTCCAGGTCCTTGTTCAGTTTCCTTACAAGCCATAATCATCTCAGAAAGCTTTTGGAGATCAAATTCACTAAAAAAGCCTAGACAGGAGGACATCCTAAATAATAGCATCACATATTTTGACAGGGCCAATTTAGGTTGAGGGAATTGTTGTTTTCTTGCTGAAGGCTTATTTATTTTTTGGCACATTCTTCTAAAGGAATGTAGAAATAACAAAAAAAAATTCTTTTTCAGTGCAAGTATTTTAAAAGGCCCACTAAAACAAATTATATGTGCAATTGAGATAAGTTACGTTATTGAAAGTGTTGGACGATGATATTGGATTTATGATAGAGGAAAAAAATGATCTAGACACATAATGCAGTCAAAATGTAGTCATTATTGACTCAGTTATTTAAAATCCTTTCTTCTGTACAAAATGATGTAATCAGAATAATACTATGAAGGGGAACCGGTTATCTTGATGCTTACAGCTAGCTAATTATCTTCATTCCATTTGCAGCCTAAAATTATATACCCGTTTGTATGTCTGTTTGTTGGGAATAGCAAATGGAAAAAATCTTTATTCTACTAACTGTCAGTGTAGCCCTAAATCTGCATGCAATGTTACCTAATGCCTCACTTGTGCAAACAGGGACTCCTGGAGCCGGCCGCCTCTCCCCAGAACCCATCTGAGGGTCAAATGCAGTGCTGCACCGAGGGCTGAATAAGCAGGCCTTGCATTCCTGCACTGCCGAAGCAGCAAAGATGCACATTTGTATTATAATAATGATTATTTGTTACATGAAACTACGTATGGTTTAAATAGATCCATGTGTACAGATCATTCTTCTAGCACAATGGGTCTGTTTGCAGATGCCTTTAATCCCCGCCGCGTGGCTCAGCCCTGCTGGTGGTTTTGCTGGATGGAAGATCGGAGCCGGGCTCCGCGCTGCCCTCCTGGAACAGGGAGGTGGTCGCTCTCCCCGGGGGCCGCACACCCTGGAGCTCGGCCTGCGCCTCCGCCGGCACGGATTCACGGGGCCTGGGAGAGGCAGTGACTCTTCCTCTGCTCTATTTTCTCTACAGGAAGGATGCAAACATTCCCTTTCGTAAAGCACCTTGGCTTCCTGAAAGAACGTGACTAAATCGCAGCTCTGAGGAGCTGCCTGGAATAAGCCATGCTCTGTATCCTTTTCGTGGCTTATTCCCAGTTTGTGCAAGCAGGAAGAGAACAGCCCCTCTTTACCCAGGGGACTTGTTCCTCGGTGCAAACATTACTCGGAACTGCTGGAAAATTAAAAATTAGCAACGCAACCTGTGTGGGTCAGTGCCAGCCATCCCACGGGCCACGCATCCCCGCCATGGAGCAGCTCAGGGCTGCCTTGGAGCTGCGGGGGGACCCAGCCCATCCGCTGAAACTGCTCGTTTGATTAGTCAAGAAGGTAAAATACTCATTTTTACTGAAAGAAGCACTAAACATGTGTTTAAAGGTGGACAGAATTTTGCTGTTTGCGGACATTTCGTGGTGCTGCCATCTTTCCCGCAGACAGGTGAGACTCACCCGCTTTTTTCCTAATGGTGTATGTTACTATTGACTTTGATTCATAAGTAAATGAGTTGGTTATATGCTTTTTTTTTCATGTATTAAGTAAATGCAATTACATTTGGTTGCAATGTACTTTAACGTTAATGACTTTTTTAACGATGATCTCCCATTCCATCGAGATTAGGGCCGCTGCATCCCCCCGTGGATGTGATTATGGATGTGCTGCGTTCAGCACGCGGGGCGCCCGCGACACACCAGGCCCCACGGCTTCGGAAGGGTCTCTTTTATTCCCGGGAGTGACTCGCTGGGAAGTTCCCGCTGGCGGCCCAGCCT